GGGAAGCCTGCTTCTCCCTCTCCCACTCCCCCTGCTTGTGTTCCCTCTCTCGCTGTCTCTCTCTCTGTCAAAAAATAAATAAAATCTAAAAAAAAAAAAAGCATATGCAGATCTATTTTTAGAGCTCTGAGGTCTCTAAGCTTACCTTTTAATTTTAGTCCTCATCTTAAGTCCTTAATTATTGATTTTTAACATGATTTTTTCATTCCAAGAAGAAGATTTACAACCAAACTCAGTTGTCATGGACATGAATGTTCCTGCAGTCTCAGAACCATAATGAACACGTGGACAGATATTAATCTATTAGCCTCCGTGTACCTGGAATAGATCTTCATTTCAAGGATAATAAAATCTAAAATTCTCTGTTAATATAATTACATCCTTAGAATTTTTTCAAGACATTTTGAGGGGCTGGAATATTTTTGTGAGACTCTTCCTCTCTTACCTTGATTTGTAGTGCAGGTAATATCAAATGCCACTTGTTTTTCTCTACATAACTAGAAAATTAAAACAACCAGAATCCCTACTCCCCAATCTTCCCCACCTTTTACTTTCTTAATGAAGAAGCAACGGGTAAGTCAAGAAATTCTTTCTTTCTTTTTTTTTTTTTTTGAAGATTTTATTTATTTGACAGAGATACAGCGAGAGAGGGAACACAAGTAGGGGGAGAGGGAGAGGGAGAGGGAGAAGCAGGCTTCCCTTCGAGCAGGGAGCCCGATGCGGGGCTCGATCCCAGGACGCTGGGATCACCACCTGAGCCGAAGGCAAATGCTTAATGACTGAGCCACCCAGGCGCCCCAAGTCAAGAAATTCTTATCAGAGAGTTTTTTCCTAATACTTTCCTGCATGTCCTATTCAGCCTCATCAACTTCATCTCCCACTTCGGAGAATCACTGAGAAGCTATGTTGGTAATGTTGATCCTTGAGTACCATAACGTCGTGGGAGGCCTCTGAGTCACCACACACTTAATCATGAGCAGACTGCCATTAGTCATCTGTGTATTTTATTGTGTTCTAATTTAAAAATTAGTGGTTCCCTTTGGGGAAAGTGACTCTCATTCAAACAGAAGAGGAGGCAGTTTCTGCTAAATTTCCAGATGCCTGGTGGAGTATATTTGCAACTGAGAGAACACCTACCAGCTGAAAAGTACTTATTCTAATTAGCTACTAAACTAATAGCTAAACCGGTAGCTAATTGGGTAATATACAGTAGATGTACCCAAGGTGCTTTTCTGTCTGGACAACTTGATGAGCAATTGAGCTTTACGTGTTGATTAGTCTGAGTATGTTGTGTGCTTTTTAAACTCAGACGTAATTGTATTTTTACTCTTGAGAAATTACTGTCTTCCTTATGGGTTCCTAAGACAAGAGTCGGACCCAAAACAGGAGGCCATTAGAGGCTCAGTGGTCAGTGTCCTTCTCTCTCCCTAAAGTCCTGGTCTCTTGCGAGCTCAGAAAATCCTCCGGAGGCCACATGCAATAGGCATGGGTGTTGGGGAAGCATAGCAGGGGTGGGGCAGCCCTGAGGACCACTAACAAAGAAGGAGGACTTCTTCAAAGGTGCCACATATACCTTGGCCCCAAAAGGAGGTCCCAAGGAACACAACAGCTACCAGCGCTCATATCAAGGGACAGTGGTGATGTGTGCCGTGTAGAAAAAAGTGCCAGTGGCTCCCCAATCTTCTTCATTGTTTTTTCCCCCAACTGTTCCCAGAGCAAATACTACATGAACACCTTTCTTTCTGGAAGTTATAAACAAGACGTGAAAAGTGATTGTTTTCAAGGGCCGGAGTCCTGGCTCGTTGAGTCTCTTCATTTGTCTGTCGTGAATATGCACTGCCTTTAGGAAAAGGGAAAAGTGATTTGTCACTTTAAACATTTTCAATCACTGGCATGCCTGCCACCTCTCAAATTGGTTATTGTCATTTATTTATGTTTCCTTCCAGGCTTCTCCAATTCACACATAATTTCTTTGTAAGTGTAATCGCGTACATATGCAATGCTGCATTCTGCTACTTCAAAGCATTGTTGTACATGAAAAACAGGCACCAGAGACCTTCTGTGACGTGAGCCGGGGTAACCCCCCCTCCCGCCCCCCAGCTGATGCAACTCTCTCTGGGACGGGTGGGCCTCCGTATAGCGTGTTCTCACCTGTCCGGCAATCTTGTGATAGGAGCTGTTTGGATGATGAGGTGGCAGAGTATATGTTTCTTTGGGTTTTTGTTTTGTTTTGTTTTGTTTTGCCTGAAAATGTATAGTTTGTTAATAGCACTGTAAATTATTTGGAATAAGGAATCTGCTCAGTGGAAAAGAAACATGAATAGGTTTAGATTTTTATGGGGCTGAATCAGCCAAATCAAACACAGGCTTTCCTGGAGCTTCCAAGTTTTTAATGGAAACTCATGCTCTTCAGAACTTTGCTGCCTAATTATAATTCATGCCTTTTGCAGATACGTTACAGGGTGGACCGAAAGGAAAATGTTAGACGTGTTCACTTGTGATTTCTGTTGTGTGACCGTGGAGTGCCAGCTGCATATGTCGAATGGCCTGGTGCGTGTAAAGACACGGTGCCAGATCCTGGCAGGCTGAACCCCTTCAGTAGGAAGGTGGATAGACTTACAGTATTGCAAATATGGGCAGCATGCTCAGCTACAGAACCAGCCTTCTATATGTGGTTGTACATAATTCACAGTGTCAGAATTTAATTTAAAAGTCCCCTGGGAACCATAACCCCAAACCAACCCACATCTTTATCTTTATAAGAGAGGTCTTTTTGAAAGATTTTGCCTAGATTTTATTTTAAAGACTTTTTCTTTCTTTCCTTTTTTTTTTTTAACAGGTCTAACTGGTGTCAAGGGAGAAAAAGGAAATCCAGGCATTGGAACCCAAGGTCCAAGAGGCCCCCCTGGACCAGCAGGTAAATCTTCCTACCTAATAGGAAACTGCAAGATGGAAATCCTAACACTTTTTATTTACTTGACATCATGGTGAGGAAAATGGCCGTATTACATCCACAGTACATTGTATCTGACAGCAATGGCTGAGTTTCTCACTCATTTTATTGGAAAGCCAGTTTGTTAAGTGAAGATCCTCCCAGTACAGAAGCCTTAAAGGCTTCTAGCATATTCTGGGATCCTATTGGCTTCATGAGTTAGGCTGTGCTAGGCTATGCTGTAGTAACAAATAATCCCAAATGCTTAGTAGATTGACACAATAAGGGTTTATTTTATACTACCCCAAAGTTTGATGTGGGTAAGGTGGCCTTTCCCCCATGCTGGAAAAAAGGCCTCCAGGAGAAAGATAAAGGAGGCACATCAACCTTCACCCTCCTAAATGGACAACGATGTACATCGCAGTAATGCATATTTCACTGGCTGGAACTAGCCAGTCTCCGTTGAGCCACATGGGAGGCTCCAAACACAGAGGGACACATGGATGTTTGATAAACACTCCTAGTTTCTGCCACCATGGCCTTCTTACTGGATGAATTTCGTGTCAGTTTTGAGTTTTGTATTGCTTTGTGTTTTTACAAAGGTCTCCAGACTATGATCCCCATTATTAGACTTGTAAGTTTGCAGTCCTGTTGGACATTTATAATCTGGTTGTAAAAAATAAAATAAAAAATAAATAAATAAATAAATAAAAAATATATAATCTGGTTGTAGCCACATCAAATCGAATACTTTATAAATTTTTTCTTTCCAACCTAATAGTGATTTTGGGAAGTACTTCTCCTGGGAGGGATTCCTAATGGAAAAGATTCACTTTGAGCACAAATGCTCCTATCCTTAGAGCTTCTATGAGAGGCTGATCTAGCATCACGTGTTATACAGAAAGGATGGTTGGTGAGAGTTGACTGAATGGGACTGAACCTACTTAGAGCTGCAACACTTTTCAAATATAAGGTGATACTTGTTCCTCATTTTCATTTAGAACTAGAGTTGAAGGGTTCATTCCAACTAGAGTTGAAGAATCTCATTTTTAGTTGAAGAATGCCTTTTAAACACTATTGGAATCTAGACCTCAAAGCAAACATGAAAACACCCAGCCTGATAGACTTCCAAAAATCACAAAAATTTTAATCTCCCTCCTATTTTCACTCAATCTGAGTTCTCCATTGATATAAGGTAGCCTAAAGACATTTTGGATTAGTATTTTGGGTCTGACTTCAGACTTTGCCTTTTTCTCCTGTAGGATAATTTCTTTCACACTCAGGCTAATGTATTTCAATTACCCAGGGCCATAAAGCAGTACAGATTATGAGGCTGCGATTGAGTGGGTGTGAGTGCGTGCGTGTGTGCCCCCGCGTGTGCTTGTCTGCCCACATGCTGCATTCATAAGGAACTGCATTGGGAAACAGGAGCTCCATAAAGAAAACCAGGTTGACAGTGGTATGTATTTTTCCCTTTAATATCCAAGACGTGACAGCAAAGAATACATTTTGCTTTCCAGTATCCTGAACTGATTGAAAGTATTCTCCAGGAGAATGTATGATTACAATATGATCCTCTGTCCAGCAAGTCCAGTTTAGGAACAAAAACTCAATGAGCAGAGAGAGGTATCTTACCCTAATTGTTAAGATGTGTGAGGTGGCTTCTCTTAAGAGACTACCAAGAGTTTCCTTCTTACCATCCACTCTGTGATGGTCAAAGACCAACTGTTTTCCTTTGTGGGTGCTTCTTAGGACCTTCAGGGGAGAGTCGGCCAGGAAGCCCCGGGCCCCCCGGCTCTCCTGGGCCCAGGGGTCCACCTGGTCACCTGGGGGTGCCTGGACCACAAGGTCCTTCTGGCCAGCCTGGATACTGCGACCCCTCTTCGTGTTCTGCCTACAGGGTAGGAGGTAAGTGCCTCTTGTGGGCTTTGAACAATGTTTCGCTACAATTAGAACTATAATGATGAGGGTGCAGTGAGCAGTAGACCAATTATGGGAGGGAAGCTGAACTTGAATGCCTCATTACCTTAAATTATCCAGAGACCTCTTCTATGAAGTGCAAATTACTATCAAGGCTACCCCTTCAAAAACCTTAAGAGGAAAATGAAAATAACAACACAACTAAATCTTCCTTGTTTATAAATGGCAGTCCACACTAACTTGACCTCCGACCTCATATTTGGTCATTGGGGGACATGTTTGAACTTTCTGTGGGGGCCCTAATTCTATGTTACTGCTGTGGTGTGGTCGTGATGCCTGTCATATTTTACTCTTGTTTTGGAAAAGCCTCAAACTTACGACTTCCCCTTAATGCGGATGGCCCCGTAGATTCTTTTGGGTGACATTCTGCCCACCACATGCCCACCATTTAAGACCAAAGATAGTCTTAAAAAGAAACAAGAGTGACCATGCCTGTCCCTGCCTCATTACTAACTCCTGGCCTGAGATTGTGAAAGATAATGCTTCCTAAAAACATCTGCAGCCTGCATGTCGGCGAGTTGTGCAATGGGACATTTTCTGACATAGTCACTCTTGGAAGCATCAAGAAAGATGTCCAGAGACTGCTTTGGGGCAATAAACTTCTTAGTCAAAGAATTTAAGTGTTCTGCTTTAGGAGAAATTTAACCTTATTTGCCAGAGGAACTGGTCAGAGTTTTGCTGATGTGTTTTTCTCTGTTCATCTCTTCCCTCCCTGTTCTCTCAAATCTCCCTGTCCCTTATTAAGATCCGATTCCTTACAATGATTACCAGCACTGAGGTGGAGCTCCTCCACTCTGATTCCATTGGCCTGGGCAATTGGCTACGGATCCAGAACTGTCCTGTTGACCACCCTCCTGCCCCCAGCCCCTGCCCCTAACCATGGGCACTCCGCTTCCCTGCCTCACCTGCTTCCCTACCTGCCCACTGTCACGTCTCTTGCCCTCCCCGCTCCCGACACATACACTGATAATACTGGAAATTAACCAGATCACAAGTGTCCGTTGTAATAGAAACTGACTGCTCTGTATCAGCCTGGATGTCAGTATATGACTGTGTACCAAGAATTTATCCCCAACTTTTCTGTGTGAAGGCTCGGTAATAGCTGTCTAAATGTGCCTTCTCCTCTTTCCTGTCCCCACACAAGATTGACGGGCACCTTTCTCCCTGACCATCCTCCTCTCCATCCTCCTCTGATGCCCTCCCTTCCTGACTGTCCCCCTGGTGATGGGTTTCTAACGTGAGATCAGTTTTAAACATTTATTTTTCTGCTAAAATTCTGCTGAGATTCAGGGTTCCTTTTGTAAATAAAACACATGCTATTTAAGCAGTTGGCCGTGATTCTAGTTTTCTAACCGTTTCTGTAACGGATCTGTCCCTTCTTTGCTAACCATCTGAAACCTCGCGGGGAAGTGCAAGCGGCATGGTGGTCAAGCAAGCTACTACTTTCCACCCAAGCAGGCTTTCTCTCTCGTGTATTGACCAAATCTGTGTCTCTTATGGACCTGTGTGAGGGGAGAATATCAATTTACAGTTCCTGGTCCTATCAAGTCCCCACCCCACTCTTCCTCTCTAGCTCCCCATCCCGATCAACCGGAATTCACTCCTGTCCAAGATGAGCTAGAAGCCATGGAACTGTGGGGCTCGGGCATCTGATCGCCTCAGGACAAATTCAAAGAGCAACTGCAAGAACTCTTAGAGAAACTTATTCAAGAAGAATGTCATTATGTGGTTTGTATGCTACCTTTGGGGGGCTTATCTCAGCAGCCTAAATCTCCTTGGACATTGCTAATATTGGCATTATTAGCAAAAAAAATTATATTTTAAAAAACCCTCTTAATCTATGATACCACAGGATTTATTTTTCTTTGTTATTTTAATGGCCTGCCAGATGATTTGTTTTTCCAGAGGAGAGTGCTCAAAGGAAAATTGGCACACACAAAAAAATTGAACTCTGGAATCTTTTCTGTGTTAGATGATCTCAAGTCCTAAAGTGCATCAAGACAGCTATGATTGTATTCAAAGGAAATGGGGCCCTCGCAGAATAAGAATTTAAAGAGATTCAAAGATTATGCCATTTATCCCTATCTCCTCTGGCCTTGCTGAAAAGAAAGAGGGATATTATTGGAGAAACTACCTCTTGATTAACTGATCTGCCCAGCTCTGAGATCACGTGGTACCTCATTTCACTGGTGTCTAAGAATATGCATCAGAATATAACCTTTCTGAATTTGGTGATTTTAAAAATAGATTTAGTTTTTTCAATGGTTTGACATGTAAAATAGTGACTTTCCACCAGTTCTGATGCAAAGAGATCCAATTTTGATGAACGACTTATCCAGCAGTATTCCAAGGCTTGCCCTCTTTATCTACATGGATTCCTTTGTACATGCAGATAAGTTTTTTGCAAACCCATTTCCATTCTCTTTTATAAGCAAATAAAAATTTAAAACAACGTATGTGGATTCTTTTTACTGCATTTCTAAATGTCACCTTAAACTTCTATAGTCTTAGCTGAGTTTTAACCAGAAAAACAACAGTTGGCTTCCTTTAGACAGGCATTCAAATTTTCATTCATTCATTCATTTACTCATTCATCCTGTGTAGTAAGAAGCTTAACAGAAGAAGCAGTTGATTTGGGCCTAAGAGACTGGTAGAATTTTTTTTTTTTTTTTAAGATTTTGTTTTATTTATTTGAGAGAGAGAAAGAGTGAGAGAAGGAGCAGGGGGAGGGGCAGAGGGAGAAGGAGAAGCAGACTCCCGGCTGAGCAGGGAGCCTGATGTGGGGCTCGATCCTGGTACTCCAGGATCATGACCTGAGCTGAAAGCAGATGCTCAGCTGACTAAGCCACCCAGGCACCCCAAGACTGGTAGAATTTTATCATTCATTTAAAACCCACAAGAAAACGCAAGACTGGGGCTAAATAAATGTTCACCAGTAGTTTACCAACAGTTGACTAAAGAGCCATCTTTCTTCTGGTATTAAGAAGAGTCTGAAAAACTCTAGAAAGGAAGAAAGGATATGAGATTGAACCTAACAGACTCTAACACCTGAACTATAATATATCTTTTGCTCACAAAGGAAAAATCTAGATATTTGAAAAAGATTTCGGTTCTATTATTTGCTTGTTGAAAATAAAATGGAAGAGTCACAAACTTAGTGTATGCTCTTTTCCTGTATCATCTCCCTAGTAACAGCTAATTGTAAAAAGTAAAGATGGGGTCATTTATAACAAGAAGTTGGATTCTTCCTAGATCAGTAAGGTCTTTCGACCTTCTTTGGTTTCCTTCACCAAACAGATCTGATTTAAGACCTCTCCAGCCAAAGGATTCAAACAGTAAGGTCTACGTATGTGCCTTTGGGGATCAAGGCAAAGAGTTTTGTGGTGCCTTTGCAGGAAATGAAAGAAGACCGTGAGCAGATAACCAACAGCTGTTTCCTTTTAGTTATGGCAAATCATTCCACATGTAGGAAGCAGGACTGATGAGAAAGAAAGCTTGCACAAGGTTGATCAGAATGACTTGACCCAGAATCACCTAAGAGAACTCCTCTGTAAATGACTAGGGTATGTCATTAGTCACTTCATATTTTTATATCAGATTTCTTAGTCTTTTAACAGGTGAGTAGAGAGAATATTCTGTGTGCTTGGCTCTTGGAAAAGCATAGTCTAATATCGTGGCACTAAGAGGACTCTAAAAGTCTCTAATAAATGGTGACACATAAACTACCAGAGGTTCTAATCCATTCATATCATTCTTGAGTTATGCAGATACGCTTGGCTTTGATTTCACTTGATGGTCCAAATCTGTTTATTTAAGCTACAGGAAGGTTCCATTAGTTTGGAAGTGTCATCACTTGGACCCAGTATTTCAGATTTTTATTGAGTGAAACTCAGATTCAGGACTTTTGTGGTTACAATAAATTGCCTTGTGAAAAGCTGATTTTGAATTGCATTTTTATTGACTTACCTATTTTGGCAGGAATATACTTATATCTTAATTTATAGCTTATCCCGTTTCTAAAAGTAAGAAAGCATCGTCCCATATAAAGAAAAACATTACTTTTCAGAATTCTCATCACTTCTGTTAGAAACTCTCAATGTCTTTGGGGAATAGTCGTTTTAGGGTAGTATCTTATATTCAGGAAAACCTCAATTTAATTGCAGGATGACCCTCCCTCTCTTTTCCTACCTCCTCTGCCCCTTTCCATCCTCTCATAACTAATCTTGCTGTATACTAGGAACTGTTTCATTCTTAGGATAAAAACATGAATAAGAGAAATGTGGGTTTATCTTCATGGAGCTTCCTCTCTAGTGCTAGAGAAGACGGGAAAGGAGTGAATAAACAAGCAAGATTCATCTCCAGTTGTGTCCGATAGTATGAAAGACACAAGAAAAGTGCTGAGAAAGGAATATGAAGAGGATATAAAGGCGCATCTGCTTCCATCTGGGTGGACAGAGATGGTCTCTCTGAGGGGCTGATGTTTAAGTTGAGACATGAAGATAAGAAGAGGCATGGAAGGAGAATCCAAGCCCAGATCCTGTCAAATACAAAGGCCCTTTGTCAGGAAGGTGCTTGTTCATGTTCAGGGAGCTAAAAGGCCAGTGTGGCAGGGGAGTGAACAGGATAAGGCTGGAGACCACAGCAATGTAGGCAATGTGCCAGTTAGCGATTTAGATTTTGAGTCTGTCACTAGCTTAAAACATACCCCTGATCATGTCACTCCTCTGCTCCATCAATTGTTTCTCATGGAACTTAAAATCTCAATCACCAGCTGGAATCCTGCCTACATTGCTGTGGTCTCCAGCCTTATCTTGTCTCAGACGGAAGCAGTGTGGAACAATGAGCCAGGACATGGAGGACAGTTTCCCTGCTCTCTTGTGTAACCAAGAAATAGATGCATATTGTATTAAGCTCTTGAGACATTAGGAACTGAAAGAGCCACATTGCTGGAATTCTCTTCTGAAGCTGTCGTTAAGCAGTTACTCCAGGCCAGGCCTACTCCAAGGTCTTTAAAGTTGAACCAGTGAGGTTGGGTTGTACTATGCTGCGGTAACAACAATTTCTTCGACACTTCCATATCAGCATGTACCTCCATGATTGCTATGAGAAGAGAAGAGAGGCCATGGAGAATCATCTCCCCCAGCTTCCTCCAGAAGTGACACACGCTACTTCCACTCACATTTTATTGGTCTATGTAAATCGCCTGAGCCCACCGAACTCCACAGGGGTGAAGAAGTACAATCTTCCCACATGCTAGGATGCAGAAGAGAACCAGAAATATTGGTGAGAAGCAATAAAAGCTACTCCTTAGGTTTTAATTCATTTGATCATCACAGCAACTAACGAGCTAGTTCACTATTTTCTTAATTGTCCTGGTGAAGAGACAGCAGCACAGAAAAGTTAGGTTACCTACATGAGAACACACAGCTAGAAATCAAATGTAGACATTCTGACTCAAAGTATCCACTCTTAATCTCTAGGCTACTCTGCCTCACATATTGGTAACTCTTACATTTTAATGGCAAAAAGGGATGGTGATAGGGCTTATTCAGGTATGAATTCCTGGACCCTGAGGAATGCCCAAAGATCGTGCTTCAGTTGTCTGGGTTGGAAACTCTGCTTTTTTTTTTTTTTAACCAAGCACCTCAGTGAACTACAGTTTGAGAAACACTATTTTGAGATCATTCTAGTTGCACAGTGGAGAATGGGTTGGTTGGAGGAGATCACAGTAGATGAGGGAACATTAGTAACACTATTGTCATGGTCTGATGAAAGCTTGTGGAGGACTGAACCAAGGTGGTGGATTTGACAGGACTCGTTAGAAATGGAGACGAGGAGAGGAACGTGACTAGGATAATCCAGGTGTCTGGCGTAAGCAACTGGGCGATGGAGACGCATCTGTCCCTCTGAGAATCATGGATTTGGGGCAGGGAGGTGGAAAAGTTCAGTTTCGGAGATAAACTGAGTGTGAGGTGCTAAGTAGGTCATTTGGAGCTTCGAAAGTAATCCGGGTCAGAGACATAAAGTTAAGAGTCATGTGCTTGTAGGTAGCATTTAAAGGCCACAGGAATGAACGAGATCCCCTGGAGATTTTTCCGCTTCCTTCTCTCCCTCTTTCATTTTTGTTTCCACAGATTCTTCAACCTGTTTTTTTTCCCTATTTTATTTTGAAATGTATCTTTCAGCTGAGTTATTCATAGTCTCCAAACTACAGCCACAATAAACTAGTTGCAAAACCCTTAATGCATGTTCTCTCTTATTTCTCTATCTTTGACCTGCTTGCCTTTTTTTTCCCACTTGGAAAGCCCTTTTCTGCCCCACCTCAGTTTAAATGACCTACTTATATTTATACTCAACCTCCAAAACTCACCCAGGTTCCTCTTCCTATATGAAGTCTTCCCTGAACCCCACCACGACCACCTGGACAACCTTGACAACCATGACACCACAGTCCCCTTTTCTAGTTAGTTCTTTAACCTCTGTGTCCCCATATTATTTGTGTGCATTCTTTAGGAGTTCTCCAACTGCCCAAGTGTGCTTAGCATTGAAAGCTGCTCAGTAAATGTTTGTAGAATCATTTCATCCTGGCACAGTTTCATTTATAACCTGTCTGCAGTAGGAAGAGTTTTCTCTATATATTAGCCATTACATTTGGGAGACAGGAATAAAGCCTAGGAACAAATGATCAGCTTCTATAGGGACTTGCAAATTGAGATCTATTAAGTATTGCAGAATGTGAGGAAGAGGTATATAAGTCATGTCTTCCTATAAATCTAGTTATTCATGGGCTCATGTACCCATCCATCTCTCTGTGCATGCATGCATGCATCCGTCGGATTTGTAACTAGTATCTGCTGTGGGTTCAGCCATGGATTGGGGTGATGGAGAAGAAAAGATGAATACAGAGTCATAGGAGCTTCCTCACTTCCTGCTGGAATTGGAAGTGGGTAAGGTCATTTGTACCAGCTTGTGGAAGATCTATCCCAGGCTAAAATGTTCAGATTTCTGCCTGACGGCAGTAGGAAATCACTGGATATCTAAGCAAATGAGCAATCTGGTTGCACTTATTATTTGGAGGCACAATTTTGATCCAGTGTGCGTGACAGACTGGTGTTGGGGACGATCAAGGAAGGAAAAAGACATTTCATGAAGACTTCCCATTTGCTAGCTTCTGTTCTGGATACCCTACATTAAGTTGATTTTCACAAGTTAAGCGAAGTATTCCCTTTTTACAAAGGCTCAAACACGTAAGGTAATAACACGTCCAATGTTACACAAATACACAGAAAAGGCAAAGAAGGGTTTCTAATTCTGGTTGCTGCCATAGCTCATGGCCCCTCTCCTGTGTGTTCCGTGCTGCCAGTTGCTGCGGGTCAGAAGGCGAGGGCCTGCCCCACAGCCCTGCAATGGGGAATAGGAGGAGGGGCCAGCTTTGAGAACAGATGAGGAAGTCTGA